CCCTAACCCTAACCCTAACCCTATCACTATCCCTAACCCTAACCCTAACCCTAACCCTATCCCTATCCCTATCCCTAAACCTAACCCTAACCCTAACCCTAACCCTATCCCTATCCCTATCCCTAACCCTAACCCTATCCCTATGCCTAACCCTAACCCAACCCTAACCCTAACCCTAACCCTAACCCTATCCCTATCACTAACCCTAACCCTAACATTAACCCTATCCCTAACCCTAACCCTAACCCTAACCCTAACACTAAACCTAACCCTATCCCTATCCCTAAAGCTAACCCTAACCCTAACCCTAACCCTAACCCTAACCCTAACCCTATCCCTAACCGTAAACCTAACCCTAACCCTAAACCTAACCCTATCCCTAACTCTAACCCTAACCCTAACCCTAACCCTAAACCTAAACCTATCCCTAACCCTAACCATAACCCAAACCCTAACCTTATCCCTAACCCTAACCCTAACCCTATCCCTAACCCTAACCCTAACCCAAAACCTAACCCTAACCCTATACCTATTCCTATACCTAACCCTAACCCTAAACCTATCCCTATCCCTAACCCTAACCCTAACGCTATCCCTATCCCTACCCTAACCTAACCCTAACCCTAACCCTAAACCTATCCCTATCCCTAACCCTAACCATAACCCTAAACCTAACCCTAACCCTATCCCTATCCCTATCCCTAACCGTAACCCTCACTCTAACCCTAACCCTAACCCTATCCCTATCCCTATCCCTAACCCTAACCCTAAACCTAACCCTATCCCTATCCCTAACCCTAACCCTAACCCTATCCCTAACCCTAACCCTAACCCTAACCCTAACCCTAACCCTAACCCTAACCCTAACCCTAACCGTATCCTTAACCGTAACCTAACCCTAACCCTAACCCTAACCTAACCCTATCCCTAACGCTAACTCTAACCCTAACCCTTACCCTAACCATAATCCTATCCCTAACCCTAACCCTAACCCAAACCCTAACCTTATCCCTAACCCTAACCTTAACCCTATCCATAACCCTAACCGTAACCCAAAACCTAACGCTAACCCTATCCCTATCCCTATCCCTATCCCTAACCCTAACCCTAACCCTATCCATATCCCTAACCCTAACCCTAAACCTAACCTATCCCTATCCCTAACCCTAACCCTAACCTATCCCTATCCCTAACCCTAACCCGGAACCCTAACCCTATCCCTATCCCTAACCCTAACCCTAACCCTAACCCTATCCCTAACCCAAACCTAACCCTAACCGTAACCCTAACCCTAACCCTATCCCTATCCCTAACGCTAACCCTAACCCTCAACCTAACCCTAACCCTATCCCTAACCCTAACCCTAAACCTAACCGTATCCCTATCACTAACCCTAACCCTAACCCTATCCTTATCCCTAACCCTAACCCTAACCCTAACCCTATCCCCATACCTAACCACAACCCTAACCCTAACCCTAACCCTAACCCTAACCCTAAACCTATCCCTATCCCTATCCCTAACCCTAACCCAACCCGATTCCCTATCCCTACCCTAACCCTAACCCTAACCCTAACCCTAACCCTAACCCTAACCCTAACCCTATCCCTATCACTAACCCTAACACTAACCCTAACCCTATCCCTAACCCGAACCCTAACACTAACCCTAACCCGAACCCTATCCCTATCCCTAACGCTAACCCTAACCCTAACCCTTACCCAAACCCTAACCATATCCTTAACCGTAAACCTAACCCTAACCCTAACCCTAAACCTAAACCTATCCCTAACTCTAAGCCTAACCCTAACGTTAAACCTAAACCTATCCCTAACCCTAACCATAACTCAAACCATAACCCTAAACCTAACCCTAACCCTAACCCTAACCCTATCTCTATCCCTATCCCTAACCCTAACACTAACCCTAACCCTAACCCTAACCCAAAACCTAACGCTAAACCCTTATCCCTCTCCCTATCCCTAACCCTAACCCTAACCCTATCCATATCCCTATCCTAACCCTAACCCTAAACCTAACCCTATCCCTATCCCTAACCCTAACCCTAACCCTATCCCTATCCCTAACCCTAACCCTAACCCTAACCCTATCCCTATCCCTAACGCTAACCCTAACCCTAACCCTAACCCTAACCCTAACCCTAACCTTATCCTTAACCGTAAACCTAACCCTAACCCTAACCCTCAAACTAACCCTAACCCTATCCCTAACCCTAACCCTAACCTAACCGTATCCCTATCCCTAACACTAACCCTAACCCTATCCGTATCCCTATCCCTAAACCTAACCCTAACCCTAAGCCTATCCCCATCCCTAACCACAACCCTAACCCTAACCCTAACCCTAACCCTAACACTAAACCTATCCCTATCCCTATCCCTAACCCTAACCCGAACCGATCAGTATCCCTATCCTAACCCTAACCCTAACCCTAACCCTAACCCTATCCCTATCACTAACCCTAACCCAAACCCTAACCCTATCCCTAACCCTAACCCTAAACCCTAACCCTAACCTAACCCTATCTCTATCCCTAACCCTAACCTTAACCCTAACCCTAACCCTAACCCTAACCCTAACCCTAACCCTAGCCCTAACCCTATCTCTATCCCTAACCCTAACCCTAACACTAACCCTATCCCTATCCATAACCCTAACCATAACCAAAACCTAACGCTAACCCTACCCTATCCCTATCCCTAACCCTAACCCTAAACCTATCCAGATCCCTATCCCTAACCCTAACCCTAAACCTAACCCTATCCCTATCCCTAACCCTAACCCTAACCCTATCCCTATCCCTAACCCTAACCCTTACCCTAACCCTATCCCTATCCCTAAGGCTAACCCTAACCCTAACCCTAACCCTAACCCTAACCCAAACCCTAACCTTATCCCTAACCCTAACCTTAACCCTATCCATAACCCGAACCCTAACCCAAAACCTAACGCTAACCCTATCCCTATCCCTATCCCTATCCCTAACCCTAACCCTAACCCTATCCCTATCCCTAACCCTAACCCTAAACCTAACCCTATCCCTATCCCTAACCCTAACCCTTACCCTATACCTATCCCTATCCCTACCCTAACCCTAACCCTAACCCAATCCCTATCCCTAACCCTAACCCTAACCCTAACCCTAACCCTAAACCTATCCCTATCCCTATCCCTAACCCTAACCCTAACCCGATCCCTATCCCTATCCCTATCCCTAACCCTAACCCTAACCCTAACCCTAACCCTAACCCTATCCCTATCACTAACCCTAACCCAAACCCTAACCCTATCCCTAACCCTAACCCTAAACCTAACCCTATCCCTATCCCTAACGCTAACCCTAACCCTAAACTTATCCCTATCCCTAACTCTAACCCTAACCCTAACCTGAACCCTATTCCTATCCCTAACCCTAAACCTAACCCTATCCCTAACCCTATCCCTATCCATAACCCTAACCCTAACACTAACCCTAACACTAACCCTAACCCTATCCCTATCCCTAACGCTAACCATTACCCTATCCCTATCCCAAACCCTAACCCTAACCCTAACCCTAACCCTAAAACTAACCCTAATGCAGGTCCCAGCCTAATCCAAACCCTAACCCTAACCCTAACCCTAACCCTAACCCTAACACTATCCCTATCCCTAACCCTAACCCTAACCCTATCCCTATCCCTAACCCAATCCCTAACCCTATCCCTATCCCTAACCCTAACCCTAACCCTAACCCTAA